TATCTATCTATCTATCTATCTATCTATCTATCTATCTATCTATCTATAACACACACACACACATACATATGTGCACACTGGGTGCTGTTTTGCTATTAATACAGATTCCCCTAGAAAACGAATGAAGGGAAATGGAGAGAGACACCTTGTTTCCATCTCTTTTTTGGTAGGTTCACTCTAATTCCATTTTTAATTTTTTAAAGTAAATCTTATTATACTTTTGCTCAGTTATAAAAATAAGCCCTGTTCTCTATGGAAACTTTGGAAAATGATGAAAATTAGAAAGAAAAGCAGCTTACTAAACTTTAGTCTCACTAGTCAGTAAAAATTAAGTATCATATTAGTGTATGTTTTTCTATACTTTTTTCCCTACAGTTTTTAAATTTTGTTTTACACACTTATGTTAATATTATGATATACATTTTTTAATCTTGTTCTCATTTTATTTAGCATAAAATAAGCATTTCTCAGACTATTTGCAAATTGTGAAGCCATTTTAATATTTATATAATAGCCTATCTAAATAATACACTATAGTTTACTTAACCATATGGTCAATTTTGTGATCAAATTTGCCACACTGATGAAAATATTACTGTATCATTACCCAAGTACTGAAAGGCAGAGGTTTTAAAAAACTGTTTATGTATATATATTTTACCATAAGGAGACTTTATGGAATAAGTAATATGTAATATTTAATATTCTTTAAAGATACATGTAGTCAGACTGTTTGCTAAAATAATTAGAGAGATTTAAAATTTCATCGACCATGTGTGATAAAATTTGCTTTACTCTAATTGGCACTGTGTACTATCTTAAAAAAAATGAACAGAATACTTTAATTTTTTTTTTTTTTTTTTTTTTTTTTGAGACGGAATCTCTCTCTGTCACCAGGCTGGAGTGCAGTGGCCAGATCTCAGTTCACTGCAAGCTCCGCCTCCCAGATTCAAGCAAATCTCCTGCCTCAACCTCCCAAGTAGCTAGGACTATAGGCACGCGCCACCACGCCGAGCTAATTTTTGTATTAGTAGAGATGGGGTTTCACCATGTTGACCAGGATGGTCTTGGTCTCTTGACCTCATGATCCACTCACCTCGGCCTCCCAAACTGCTGGGATTAGAGGCATGAGCCACAGCGTCTGGCCTACTTTGATGTTTTGATAGGAAAATATTCTATTTCCTGGCTCTTTCAGCTTGTATTCTTCCTTATTTCTTTTTAGACTAGAGTTATATACTAATTGAAACTTATTTTTACAACAAGATTATTTGACCACTTATTGTGCCTACAATTGCTTTTTAAAAAATAAAACACATGTAATTACTTCAAATGAGAATGTTTTAAATGTTTAAAACAAACAAATTTATTACTTATATTTTACTCCTCACACCATACACAAAATTTAAAAAAAAAAAATCCCCATCCGTGCTTATTGCATCTTTCTCTCTCTATTCTAACAGACAATGAAAGAACGGAATCGGACATTTTATTGCAATTCCTGCTTCCCTGAATTTGCGTATTTCTTCCCACCTGAGAAGGAGAATTATGTATTTTGATTTGGATTATTTCTTCATTTTTATCTGTTTATTTTAATGATTGTTTTGTCAGTAATATCCATGGAGATCAACTTTATCCATGCCTCCGAATATTAGATTGGTTTCTTGAATGGGATTTTGAATATGCATTTAAGAAGTTGGGAAGAATTTCGCAGATGATCATTGGAGGAAAAGTGATGAAAAGAAAGACCTGTGTCCCACGAATTTTCTCCAGCTTCAAACCTTTACGTGAATCTTAACCAAAGTGGACATCTTTACATTTCATGACAGCTTGATTTCACAATATGAGTTTGATAAATCAGTATAAGTTTACGATGGTGAAAAGTCAACATATTGAGAGCAATATTTCAATTAATAGACTATGAACTTAATGAGATATAAAAGCAAATGAGAGCAGGAGGGAATAGTGACAAAAATATTTGTGCCCAATTATGATTAATGTTTTAGAGATGTTGTGTCCTTGTGGGCTTAGCATGGAACTAAAAGTTTCTGAGTTTCAATTCTGGTTGTGTGTCATTTAGTAACTCAGGAATCTGCTTAATTGTTATTTCTAAGCTTTTGACGACAAAGGAGTGATGCAGCTAAGGCCATCCTTGAAGTGTCATAAAAAACAAATTTGAGATTGGATGATGAGCTGCACAGTTAGAGTGATAAAAATTCCAGGCATGCCTTCTGATTCACCACGATCAAGTCAGGATTTCTTAGTATTTCTTTGCTGGCAGCATATACAAAGGCAAAATTAATAAATAACATAGTTGTTGAATAACAAATTTTGTAACATTTTTATAAAACAAAAGAATCTATTTTGTCTGTATTAAAATAAAAAGCTCTGTGGACTTTTAAAAGATATACTTGAGTCATCTAATAGTTTTCAAATGATATGCTTACCTGCTTTTAAATTCAAGCAGCCTTTCTTCTTCTTGTCCTTTTTTTTCTCTTCCTCCCTTTCTTCTGTCCCCTCGTTTACTTAATTCACCATATATTTACTGAGTGTCTCCTCTGTAGGTACCATGCTAAGGGCCATACTTCACCCATACGACATCTTGGGAAGCGATGAAAACATGGTCTCAGAAGTTTTGCCATAGGATCGTATGCTGTGACTACAAATCATTCCTGCCAACTATAATGACTCAATAGTAGAGTCCTTCTTAAACAGCAGAACCAGTTGTGAATTAGCTATAAAAACCATAACTACTTTCTTCCAAATCTATATTTAAAATGGTCTTAACTAGCACAAAGCTGATGCTCTACACAATCCCTTTACTTAAGTTTAAATTCAGTAAATTTTACTGAGTACATAGTATTTGCCAACATCAGAAGAATGTCCATTCTTCTGTTACTGCTGTCTGTTCCTCATTCATCTGTGTGACTAGCTGTCATCTATTCACTGTTTTATTTTTACAAAAGATGGTACAGTTTATAGAGGGCTTAACCAATTTTTCATAACTAATATAAGTAAGAATTCAAATTCAGGTTCAAGTTTTTAAAATTCCAGGTGTACTGTTCCTTCTTACAGCACAATGGAATGAAAGATTTGCTGCAATTATATTCTGTTTACGAGACAAAGTGATGTGGTAACAGAGGTATGAGTTTTGGAATCAAACTTGGATTTAAATCTGGCTGTGCCACTCACAAGCTCTGTGACTCTGAGAAAGTTAGTTTCATTGCATCTCAGTAAATTAATCTATAAATTGAAGATAATAGTACTTACCTGTAGGGTAATTGTAATAACATGCATAAAATGAGTGTTACACGATAGATCCTCAGAAAGTATTTACTATGATTGATTCTTTACTCAGACTTATTCCTACTTATTTGATATGAATCTCAGTTTCAACTATAAACTGGCTTCCTGACTGTGTGGGTTTAAATGTCATGAACAGAATCAACTTCAACCATCCTTTGGATGCTATTCTTGTTTATAAGACGTCATGATAATTTTTGTCCATGCAAAACCTACCCACCTCCCATATGTTCAGATCTCACCTTGTCCTTAGGCCTTGAATACTTTAAGTATTTTTGTTTTTTTCTTACCTCTGTCTGCAACTTTGAAGTTACGTAGTACCCATTTTGACTATTGTATTGTACTATTCCTTAAATATTTCCATTGTATATGTCTCTTCCTGTGTGACAAAACCGTAATTCATGGTGGACAGGACTCGTTTCTTAATTTTTTCCATAGGTCTCTTGGCACTAGTGTAGTGTTTGACACCTAGAAAGATGTTACTAATTAAGTAAATTGTCAGCAAAGGTAACATGTACAAGATTAACATAAGTGAACATGATAGCTTTTTGTTTTTATGTTATTGTTCATGTTATTGGTTGTTGTCATTTCATGTTAAACTTTCCTGGTTTAAAAATGTCTACATCCAGGGAGAATAATCACAAGAAGTGTTTTTTGTTTGTCTGTTTGTTTTTAAGACAGAGTCTTACTCTGTAGCCCAGGCTGGAGTGCAATGGCGTGATCTTGGGTCACTGCAACCTTGGTCTCCCCAGTTCAAGCAATTCTCCTGCCTCAGTCTCCTGAGTAGCTGGGATTACAGGCACCCACCACCACTCCCAGCTAATTTTTGTATTTTTAGTAGAGACGGGGTTTCACCATGTTGGCCAGGCTGGTCTCGAACCCCTAACCTTAAGTGATCCACTCACCTCAACCCCCCAAAGTGCTGGGATTACAAGTGTGAGCCACCATACCCAGCCCACATGAAGTTTTATATAACATGTTTATCAAAGGTTTTTTTTTGTTAAAGTGATAAGTAATAAAATAATTAGAAAAGTTAGAAAAATAATGACTATTTGGCAAAGATATTTCTCATACAATGAGAAATTATCTTTGTCCAATTAGTTTAAAATCTAATGTAGAGAAACTATATATCTATATATACATATCAGTATATATGTGTGTATATATATATGATACTTTAAAAAATAGAGTTTAGTTTTTAGAGTAGTTTTAGTTTCACAGCAAAACTGAGCAGGTACAGAGAACATTTTTGTTTACAATCTGTACAAATGTATCCATTGTGTACTAAATTCATTGAAAATAATGTCATGCTACATGTGTACTCAAATACTCTGGGTTGTAATTCAGCAACCCAGACTTGGTTTTTAATACCAACTTGGTTTTTAACAAGTACCGTCATCTTCATTTTCAATAAACACAAATTCTCATCATTATGTAACAAGGTTATACTGAAGATAGAACTAACCCTCAAAATAAAGTAAGATCCTTAAGAACTTTGCCCCCCAAAAAAGTTACTTATGAAGAACTGATGCTTGATCTACAGTTTTATTGTAATTATAGTAACTACTGTAAAGCTCTGTCGGATACATATGTGAAACAAACATACAACATTAATATGCTTTAAGTGAGCTATGTAGACCTGAGTCCTGACTATACATATAATATATTCCATGTACTTTAAAACTTACAGCTTTTGCATTGGAAGAAATGAACTGCGGCCTACTCCAGCCCCCATCGTATTGCAGCATTAGTGCTTTCATTCGGCATCAGTGCAACCCAGCATAAAAGAAAACAAACAAACAAATAAAAAAAAAAAAAACTCAGCTGTGCTGTTCCCAAGAGAGGTTGGACCAGGGTAATGTAAAGAGGCGTGCCAAGCTATGCCAAGATCTATTAGCCAGGAATAGGTAAGAGAACAGAGAATATTGTGTTTAGAAGGGCTTTGACTTCCATCAGAAGGTATATTTATCTAAGTTCTCCCAAGGAGGGAAGAGAAAAGTAGAGTCATTATCTTTTACATAATAAAATATATCCACAGAATATATGAAAATTCAAGCAGTGTTACCTTGGGTCTGTGTTTTTAGTATCTATAAGAATAATTTTCAAAAATTAAACAAAGGAAATCAGATGAACTAAGAGAAAAAGTTTTTCAACATCCTTAGTAATTGGAAGCACATTTCAAAGAAATCTGTTCCTAAGATAATTGTCACTATGCAGGTATCTTAAGGATCTGTATAAAATATACACTTCTCATTATATTTTTAGTTATGACTACAGAAGTGTTTAACTATCATCTTAAAAATATCTGTCCTCATATTTTTTATTAATACAGGCTTTTACGATCTTATTAATTCAAAATATTTCTAGGCTCATCCTATATTTTCTACAGCTTTATTTTCATTATCTGAATTTTTTTAATTTAAAAGAGTGTGTACAATAAATATTTTTAAAAACTTCTGTATTTTTATTTAAATACTCAAACACATTGTAAGCTATTGTGGCCAGGACTTAAAGCACCTACAGAGAACCTATAGAGTCTAGCACAGTCAGTACTAAGCACATAGAAATTGCTCAATAAAAATGTGATGAATAGTCTCAGTAGACCAGACTGTAATATAAATGAATGATGCCTAAGACAAGTAGGTGATATTACACTGTGAGTAATGGTGGCATTTAGTTGGCAGCTGATTCTCTATTTACATTTCTTTTTTGATATTATGCCATTTTGGTCAGTCTTTAAATTTAAGTAGTACAAGGAAGTCTTTTTTTAGACTTCTTGAAGAAAACAGCTGTATTTTTTTTAACATGGCATGACTGCTGTTAAGAAAAACTGTAAATTAGTTCAATCATTGTGGAAGACAGTATAGAGATTCCTCAAGGATCTAGAACCAGAAATACCACTTGTCCCAGTAATCCTATGACTGGGTATATACCCCCCAAAATAGAAATCATTCTACTATAAAGACACATGAACATGTATGATTATTGCAGCACTATTTAAAAAAGCAAAGACATGGAACCAACACAAATGCCCATCAGTGATAGACTGGATAAAGAAAATGTGATACATATACACCACGGAATACTATGCAGTCATAAAAGGGAATGAGATCATGTGCTTTGCAGGGACATGAATGAAGCTGGAAGCCATCATCCTCAGCAAACTAACACAGGAACAGAAAACCAAACACCACATGTTTTCACTCATAGGAACAGAAAACCAAACACCACATGTTCTCACTCGTAAGTGGGAGCTGAACATTGAGAACACATGGACACAGAGAGGGGAACAACATACACCAGGGACTGTTGGGGAGTCGGCGGTGAGGGGAGGGAACTCAGAGGACGTGTCAATAGGTGCAGCAAATCACCATGGCACATGTACACCTATGTAATAAACCTGCACGTTCTGTGCATGTATTCTGTTTTTTTGTTTTTAGGAAGAAATAAAGAGCAAAATGTAAACAATGGAAAAAATAGATAAATACAAGCCTGCATATTGAATAACTTCTTTCTTTATATTCATTTTTTAGAATTTTTCATTTCTATAGGTTTTGGGGGATCAAGTGTTATTTGGTTACATGAGTAAGTTCTTTAGTGGTGATTCATGAGATTTTGGTGCACCCATCACCTGAGCAGTATACACTGAAATAACTTATTTTAGCCAGTTATCTAATTTCTTACCTTGGCAGAGGAGCTGAATTTTAACTTTACACCTACAGGCAGATGAAGGTATTGCAGAAGATATATAGCCTGTACAATAAAATAAACATAATTTGCACACATGAGAACAGGAGAAAATATTTTATTACTTCTTTGAGCAAAGTATAGTTTTCTCTTTACAGAAATAAGTACACCAGGGCCTTAGTAAATGAATGACAGTTTTCAGTTTATTTCCAGATAAAAGTTGGTGATTTCTAATTATGGTTTTAATCAGTTTATTGATTTAACCTAAAACTCAGATGCTAAATCTCTTTGGATGCATTGGAATTACATAAGAAATATTTATGGAGCATTACTTTGAGAAAGTAGCAAAAAATAAATTCCAAGTGTATATCAAAAACCTGAGAACTTAAGTAACA